GCCGCCCCCCCCCCCCCCCGCCCCCCTGCCGCTGCCTCCCCAGGTGCCTCTCTTAGCCAAGGAGGGGAATGGATGCCCACCCTGGGCTAGATGTTGAGGAGAGCAGGGCTTCTGAACAAGAGTGTGGTACACAAAGCCTGGGAGATTTCCCCAGCCCCTTAGTAGACATCGGTGGTGGTTTTTTATAGAACCATGCCCCGAGGGCTTCTGGGAACAACCAGAAATAGATACTTATGGAGCAGTCAGAGCTCACAAATCCTTCCTGGGCTGTGTATAAAAATCAGGACAGACACAGAGGAAGTAGAACCTGCCTTGCTTTTCTGCACAAGCAGCCCTTACTCCAGAGCGAAACAGGGGTGGGGAGTGCAGCAGGAGTTCCCTGTGCTCCCCTCTGTGTGAGGACCAGCTTGTGAGGCAGGAACTGTTCTCAACCTTCCTAATTCTGAGGCCCTTTTATACAGCTCCTTGTGTTGTGGTGACCCCCGACCATAAAATGATTTCATTGCAACTTCATAACTGTAGTTCTGCTACTGTTATGAATCATAATGTAAATATTTTCGGAAATTGAGTTTTGCCGAAGTGGTCATGACCCATAGGTTGAGAACCACTGCTGCTTCTCAGTCTGCTTTTGGATGAGCTGGTGGAAGCCTGGAAACTTCCATCTGTTCTGGTGCTCACAGACATTTGAATGTCTACTCTCAGCAGATAGCAGTGTTAGCAGGGGGTTACAGAAGTCAAGATGAGCCAGTGTGGTGGTGCCTACCTTTAATCCCAGCATTTGCAGGCAGAGGAAGAGGGATCTCTGAGTTCGAGGCCAGCCTGGTCTACACAGTGAGTTCAGACTGGTGAGGAGTACATAGTGAGACCCTGTCTCACAAAGCAAAAACAAAGTCCAGATGAAAAGCACAGTCCTGTGAAGGTTGTTCACACTGAAGATCAACTCTCCAGGTGACAGAAAAGTCCTCTTTTTCTTCTCTTTGCCATGCTGGGTATCAAACTGGTAGCCTTTTTTGTGCCAGACATGTTCTCTGCCACTGAGCTACACCCCAGAGATACCTTTTTGTTTTTTTTTTTTTTGAGGGTTTTTTGTTTTGTTTTGTTTTTCCAGACAGGGTTTCTCTGTGTAGCTTTGGAGCCTATCCTAGCACTGGCTCTGGAGACCAGGTTGGCCTCGAACTCACAGAGATCCACCTGCCTCTGCCTCCCGAGTGCTGGGATTAAAGGCGTGCACCATCACCAACGGCCAGCTTGGTTTTTTGAGTTTTTTTGGTGACAATGTCTCACTGTTTAGCCCAGGCTGGGCCTGAACTTGCCATCGTTATGTTTTAGGATTACGCTAGATCACAGCGGTGTGCCATCTTACTCCAGCCAGAGGCTCAGATGGTGCAGTTTCCGTTGGCATCACAGCCTCACTTGATTCTCCTGCAGTTGCTTCTCTATCTCCTCAGCTAAGTTCCCTACTTTCCTCAGGACGGCATCGACATGAGCCGGGTGGCTGTGATGGGACACTCGTTTGGAGGCGCTACAGCCGTTCTTGCTTTGGCCCAGGAGGTCCAGTTTCGGTGAGTACTGGGGATGCTGCTGTCATCGGACTTCACACACCATTCATTCATTCATTCATTCAGCAGGGATGTGTTACACAAGGGTCATGTTCTGGGCAATGTTTGATGGGCTGGGGATTCAGTGATCAGCTGAACAAGGTCTGATTTTGAGAGATTGTGTTGTTGGGTGAGGAAAGTGATTATCAAATTCTTAGCTCTTTTTTTGGGGGGGTGGTTTCAAGACAAGATTTCTCTGTGGCTTTGGAGGCTGTCCTGGAACTAGCTCTTGTAGACCAGGCTGGTCTCGAACTCACAGAGATCTGCCTGCCTTTGCCTCCCAAGTTCTGGGATTAAAGGCATGCACCACCACAAGCTCTTAAGTGCGATGAAGAAAATAAACAAGCCAAGGATGTGATGTACATGCCCATATCTCTGCATTCCAGAAGCTGAGGCAGGAGGATCACAGTTCAAGGCAAACCTAAGCAAGACCCTATCTTAAAAATAGAATAAAGTGAAAAAAAAAAAACATTAAATGATTTTAAGCAGAAAATAGCCGATCTTAGATTTTAAAAAGCCTCCTGGCTACTGTGTGATGGAACAGACCAGGTTGAAGGGCTAGGGGGATGCAGTCCGAGTCAGAGAAAAACTGAGAGAGGATGGATTTTCATGAGGATGGAGGTCGAGGATGGTTAGCATGGATGGAGTCAGATGCAACTGAGTTGTTGAGCCTTAGGGGCGAATAAGAGCAAGGAAAGGGCAAGTGAAGGCTTTGCGGTTGCACCTGTCATGACAGTGGAAGGTGACTGTCCCCTGCTGAAATGCAGAAGATGGAGTGTCAGTATCACAGTACCAAGAAAGTTTGTAGGGTTCTCTGCCACGCAGGCTCTGGTCTCATGTAGCATCCCACACATCAGAGCTCTGAGCTGCGGTTCTGATACCTTCAAAGTGTCTCGCTCTCCCCTGATGTCCTGGGAGCTCCTGGGATATGTGGCCTTTCTCATTGATCTCTGCATCCAGAGGGCTAAGGCCGCAGTAACCACTCAGTAAATACTGAATGATTTGAGAGACTGAATGAGTGAAGTGACATTCTGCAGAAGTAGAGTGCAAAGTCACCTGAGGGTAGATCCAGAGAAGGTCTGAGGCAGTACAAATTCTAGAAGGCTCTTTGGGGACAGGTAAGAGGGACTCCTCTGTAAGATGGTCATAGGAGGGTGCGGGTTCCTGGCTTTCTGAGTCGTCAGCCCATTGGAGAGAAAGGTCCCTTTCCATCCCCGCCACCCTGTGTATTCTTACTGAGTTTCTTAGTGACAGCTCCAAATGTCTGCCTCATCCTAGGTGTGCTGTGGCCCTGGATGCTTGGATGTTCCCTCTGGAGCATGACTTCTACCCCAAGGCCAGGGGCCCTGTGTTCTTTGTCAATGCTGAGAAATTCCAGACTGTGGAGACCATCAACTTGATGAAAAAGATATGTGCCCAGCACGAACAGTCCAGGATTGTGACTGTCCTGTAAGTATGCCCCAAAGGCACGACCCCAGTATCCTGTTGGTCTTTTTCATCAGCTGGGACTCCCTTCATTTCTTCTAGGTTATCTAGAACTTTCTATATATTCATTTAACATCTGAATATTGCCACAATCCCTATCTCATAATTCTTATAGGGTTTTATATTGTCTCTCTTCTTCACTTAGCCCCACCCACAGAGATTTCTTCCACAGTTTATGTAGCTGCAGGATAGGATTTACTTAGTAGTTTCTGGAAAATGGGTGTGTTGGGTCTGGGTGAATTCCAGTCATCTCTAGCCTCCTATGAGAATTTTACCGTTTTTTGAAGACTTGGCAAGTGTGGGCTTTGACAATTTGGGGGGATTTGTAGAATTTCTGTGGATATCCAGTTCATAGAGGTTAGCCTAACATAGGCCTTCTTCTAAAAGTCATCCAAGTGGGCTGGGCCTGTTGATGCCTGCTTATAATCCCAGCACATAGGAAGACCAGGCAGGGGGATGGAAAGTTCAAGGCCAACCTGGGCCCACTTATATGTTGGCCAAATAACCCACATTCTGTTCACCTGCTCACTGCACAGTGGTGGCTGCACTTTCTGCAGGGCCTATTTTCTCCAGAGCAACAGGCTTTCACAGCTTAAGCCATGTGGGAGCCATGTGGAACTCAGGCAGGCCTGAGACCTGCCTGACCTGCTCCTGCCCCAGGCAAGCCAAGCAGCACCCATGCTCCAGTGTCTACTTCAGGAAACACAGCTGGCCATGTGTTATGTACCTGCGGAATCACCTAGGCAACTGAACATATGCCATGCCAAGTCCCGGAGCGGTGGCCTCAGTGGTGGCTTCTGAGGGTCCTCTCCTGCCCATCCTGGCCCAGTTAGTCCCTCCTCTTTCTTTTTGATTTCTTAGTGTTGAGGGACAGGGCTGCAAGAATGTTTCCCCAGGGCAGTCAGACTCGGTCACTTGTGATCTGTAGGGAAGGGACAGGGCACACAAAAGGGATTTAACGATAGGCAATATAATATCTTTAAAAAAAAAATTTATGGCTGGATGTGGTAGCCCATACCTTTAATGCCAGTACTCCGGAGGCAGAGGCAGGTGGATCTCTATGAGTTCAAGACCAGGCTGGTCTACAGAGTGAGTTCTAGGATAGCCAGAGCTATATAGTGAGACCCTGTCTCAACCCACCCCAATATTTTTAGATTTATTACTTTTATTATTTTATGTGCATGAGTGATTTCCTGCATGTATATATCTTGTACCCCTGGAAACCAGAAGAAGGTATTGCACTCTTAGACTTGGAGTTACAGACTTGTGACCTGCTGTGTTGGTGCTGAGATTCGAACCTGGGTCCTCTGCAAGAACAAGTGTTTTTAAGCACTGAGCTATCTCTCCAACCCTAGCATATTATTTATTTATTTATTTATTTTTGGTTTTTGGAGACAGGGTTTCTCTGTGTAGCTTTGGAGCCTATCCTGGCACTCGATCTGGAGACCAGGCTGGCCTGGAACTCACAGAGATCCACCTGCCTCTGCCTCCCAATGCTGGGATTAATGGCGTGCGCCACCAATGCCTGGCATTATTTTTTAAATCTAATGCTGGGTACTCAAGAATTCATTGTAGTTTTCATTCTACACACTTTTTTTCATGTGCCTTAAATAATACATTTAAAAAAATAGTTTTGGGTTGGTAAAATGACCCAGCAGATAAAGACAACCTGTCATGAAGCCTGAATGTGGAGTTCTGTTGCTGGGATCCACATAGAGGGAGGAGAGAACTGATTCTTGCAAGTTGTCCTAAAAATTCCAACCACGCACCATGCACACACACACACACACACACACACACACACACACACACACACTTACAGAGAGACTACACACACACAGAGATTCACAGATACACACACACATAGACATATATACTCAGACAGACACACAGATGCACACAGACTCACACATGCACTAATAAATGAATACATTTAATTTTTAAAAATATGTTTTTCTACATATTAGATAGGTATTTCAGCATTTAGATTTTCCATATCACATTCATCTGCATTACGAGTAATTTAAGTCAGTAGGTGTCCGTGGAGGACATCAGCTGTGAATTAAATATGTTTACAGGGCTCGGGAGTGCTGTAGTGGTGGAGCAGGTGAGAAGGCCCTGGGTCAGTCTCCCCTACCCCAATGAATGAGTGAATGAACGAATGGTCTGAGTCTTCTACAACCAAAGCGCTTAATCCAGAGCCCATTTTTCTGTGCTCTCCCTGCTCTGATTATTTAACTAAAAGCAGGTGTTTCCTCTCCCTGTTGACTCCATGGCACAGTTCTGGCAGTGAGGCTAAATGTGTCATGGCCTTGGGGTCCCTGGGTAAAAGCTGTGGTGTACTAGGAATGGCAGTGCTGGGAACCTCACCTGCCTCTCCCAGCTCCCCTAACAGGTTCACTCTCCTTCCTGTAGGACACTACAGGCATGGTGACACCTCCGTTCAAATCCTAGCTCTGCTCAGTGTCACTTCTTCCTTCTCAGACTCTATCACCAGGGAAAGTCCCGACAAGGTTGCTGGGAGAGTTACACAAGCCTCACGGGCAGCACCTTGTCCACAGTAGGCACACATGTGTACCTGACCTCCACCCTCCAACCGGCTGTTTCTCTTTCTCTCTAGGGGAGCTGTTCATCGGAGTCAAACTGATTTTGCCTTTGTGACCGGCAACCTGATTGCTAAATTCTTTTCCAGTCACACTCGTGGGACCTTGGACCCTTACGAAGGTCAGGAGGTTATGGTGCGGGCCATTTTGGCCTTCCTGCAGAAGCACCTTGGTAAGGAGACAGCTGGGGCTTACGGAGCACACATGGGGTCCCTTGGGTCTCCTATAGCACTGTGTTCTGTCCTGACATGACGAGGACCCAGGAGAGTCATGGCATATGGAAGCCTGACAGCACAGGAAAGTCATTTAATGAAGGCTTGCCCAGCTAGACCCTGGCTTGGCCTGGTCACCTAACCTTTCTGAGCCATGGTTTCCTCACTGTGACAGTACCTTTGCCTCTCTTTACCCCATCACCTTTGTGCATTGTGGACTCTTCATGATAATAATTGGGCAAACTTTATGTAAGTTTTTTTTTTTTTAAAGAAACCAAACATGGAAGGATTATGACCAATATCATAAGTCACAGACCAGCTAAATGGCAAAGCCTTTTGAGGTCCCTGGTGTTATCACTACCCAGAGCTTTTCTGACGGACAAGCAAGCGTGCTTTTCCACTGGGAATTTGGATGTTTGAGGTGATCGTCTCAGTGTTGGTGAGATAGCTCTGAGGGTAGATGGTGCTTGTGGCACCAGCCTGAAGACCTGAGCTCAATCCCTGGAACCCACACAAAGGTGGAAGGAGAAAACCAACTCCACAGAGTTGTCTTCTGACCCCCCCCACACACACTCTTCATGGTGTGTGCACACGTGTGCACGCACACAATACAGATATTGCAAAAAGAAAGTTAATGGTCTAACTAAACTTTTTTGGACCACAAAGACTAGAATTTTCGTTTACCTCAAGGGGAAAAAAAGTGAGCTGGGTGGTGGTGGCACACACCTTTAATCTCAGCATTCAGGAGACAAAAGCAAGTAGATCTCTGTGAGTTCCAGGTCAGCCTGGTTGACACAGCTAGTTCTAGGACAGTCAGGGCCATTACACAGAGAAACCCTGTCTTGCAAAACAAATAAGCAAACAAAAACAAAAAACAAAGAAAGAAACCCGGAAGTTTGTTTATGAGGTGTACCTGGACCCAGTGGGTGACAGAGTCAAGGGACCATTGCAGTATGGATGTGTTTGTTTTGTTTTGTTTTTCTCTGCTCCACAGGCTCAGTGTGTGTCTTCCTGTTTCCTTGTCTTCCTCTGCTTCTTTCATTCTTTCTATGCTTTTTTTTTTTCATACCCTGGAGTGTCTGTCTGTTCAATCTCTGCTTCCTCAGAACTTGGTTTAGCCTGTGCCAGCGGTGGCCAGTCCTCTCTCCTGTGGGTTCACAGCTTTTGTACTCACAGCTGTATTGGGGGGCGGGTAACTTTGGGGGCAGTGACCTCATTTTATTTGCTTGTGTATTTACTATGATTATTTCTTAACACTAGATTCCCAAGAGAGGTTCTTGGTTGTACCTACCAAAATGCATTGTGGGTCACTGTCCAGCCTAGAGCTTTCATGATCACATGTCCCTTTCACTGCAGTCCATGTGGAAGAGAAGCACCCCGAGCCTCAGGAAGCTGACCCCTCACTTTCATCAGGAGGCAGCCAGGCTTGCCTGAACCAGCCTCACAGCAAGATCTGATATCTTACCCCTCAACACACGTACACACACACACACACACACACACACACACACACACACACACTCAGGCCAGAGAAGCCACAGGTAGCACACGGCAGCTCTTTAGATATCTATAGTCACCTCTGATATCCTCTGTTCATGGCCGTGGGACCTGCAGTGGTTCCTTGTTCAATCCCCCACACACTCTATTATCACCTTTCTTTGGGTGCAGTTTGTCAGGGCCTCTTTTAAAGAGAGGTGCCCTGACTGGAACACACTACGCTAGACGTGGTCTGGGCAGCACCTGGCCCAGCAGGGCCCTCCCCTCTGTGCTCGGGACCTGGGTCTTCCCCTGCATAGCCTGCGTGCATTTGTGTTTCCCACAATGTGTGCAACCCATCTGGTTCGGGTTGTGCTAATGTTTGTAATATGCCCGTCCTACTAAGAACACATTGCTGCTACGAGCCAGATTTGCATGTCTGTTTACATTTGCTCATTTCACCTTGCAAATTATGAGTTTAGAAACTTGCAGGGCCTCACAGAGACGCATCTTTTCTCCTGACGAAAAGGAGTGGTCCCACCTCCCAAGACTTGAGTGGTTCCTGCTCCCTGGTCCTCAGCTGCACCTCCTGTTTCCCCTAGGCACATGTCCTTATAGGAGCCCAAGATTAAAGATGACAGGGCAGGCTATGAGTGGTGGCGCACACCTTTAATCCCAGCATCGGGGGGCAGAGGCAGGTAGGTCTCAGTGAATTTGAGGCCAGCCTGGTCTACGTAGAGAGTTCTAGGCCAGCTAGGACTCTGTCTCAAAAGAAAAAGTTGAAGGTGACAAGGGAGCCCGCAGTGGTGTGACAGACAGTTAAAGGGAGAGACCAGCAGAGGAGGAGGTGTCAGGAGTCACGGCTGGAGGAAGCTTGCTGGACATTTAGTCTGCTTATGTCACCAGTGCTTGTCACGCTCAATGCTCTAGAGTCATTATCTATCGTGTCTGATTCTGGAGATGGCCCTTCCCAGTAGTTTTTTTTTTTTTTATTTAGTAGCTTCATTTTTTTCCAGATGAATATATTAAAGCTTAGAAAAGGTCAGTAGTCTGTAATTGTTCAAGGTTATCTGGTTCTGATGACAATGCCAGTGCTCGGTCTGACTGTAGCCCCACAGCCTGTGCCCCTTCATTGGTGAGCCGCAGTGTCACGATACACAACAGTGTCTTTTACTTCAGTCACACAGTGGCTGCCTAGGAGGACCCCGGGGTTAGACCTGACTGGAGTGAAGGGAGAGCAGCCAGGGAAGGGGCTGCCTACAGAAGGCGATTCCCGCTTAGATCTTGACTGATGAAGAAAGGCCATAGTGAGGGAAGGGACAGGGGTCTTCCCTGGTAGTGTGGGTAGTTCCCATACATCCCAAGCTCAGGACAGGGAGCTGTTGAAGAGGCAAGGGGAGAAGTGGGCAGAAGTCAGGAGCAGCGGCCCATGGATTTACTGAAGGGGGTTGGGAACCTGACACCTCAGTCTGTGAGGAGCCTGCTATAGGTTGTAGGCAGGAGAATGGCATGGTTGGACAGGCTTGCGGTCTAGCTACATGTAGAGGATGGGTGAGTCAGAGAGTTGAGAACCAACAGTGTGGGTAGCATGGAGGCTCTTGTGGTAACCCAGGGGTAGTGGGGGCTTTCGTGGTAACCCGGCTGAGAAGAGAGAAAGCAGAATCTGAGTGAAGACGATGTATCTTTACCAACTGGCTTTACAAAGAAAGGAAGCATTTAGGTGCCTTGTCACTGGGGGAACTAAATGGGCCAGAGGTGGCTCAGCATCACCTCACAGCTCCTGCCTAACGCCTCCAGAGCACAGGGGTGATGCTGCCTTCCCAGTGAAATCTCCTCTTTCTCCTCTCTGTCCCCACCTGCCCTCCTGGAAGGCCTCACTCCTGTTGTAATTTAAGAAAAGCAGCGCTCGAGAGAAAGACAGGGTTCAGGCAGAGGTTTTTTTGTTTTTTGTTTTTTGTTTTTCCCTAAGGAAAAGGGGAACTGGAGAGAGGAGACTGAGACCAGCTCCAGAGGACAGACAGGGGCAGCAGGAGAGAGGAAAGAAGGGCAGGGCGGGGGCAGACAGACAGGGGGCGGAGGAGGGGAGAGTGAGGGAGAGGGGGGTAAGAGGGGGGAGAGGGAAAGAGAGGGAGAGAGGGGGGAAAGACGGAGGAGGATGGTAGGTCGGCAGGGCCCACAGGAGGTGCTCTTAGTGGCTGCAGCTGAGGGCGTTTCCTGTCAGAACCCCAAGGACAGGCCAGTATGGATGCCTGAACACTAACAACTCCCCCTCTTCCACCCAGCGCCTCCTCTTCCTCCCCGCATCTCCAGAGCCTCTTCCTCGATCTGTCTCTTGCTGAATGCCTGTCTCCACTTAGCTCAGTGGAAGCTACAGCACTTCCACGGTCTCTCAGGACCTGCCTGGAGCTCCCACCTCACCTGCCTGGGAGGCCGCCATACCCAGTCCTTTTGGTATCCCAGGTGTTCCTCTCTGTAGGATGCCCCGGGACCCCATGGAAGCTACTGTGACCAGACTCAGCAGGGGTTTGCCTAACACTCCCTCCTGTTTGTGCCCATTCAGACCTGAAGGAGGACTATGATCAATGGAGCAGCTTTGTCGAAGGCGTCGGACCAGCGCTCATCCCAGGGGCCCCACACTATCTGTCCAGTCTTTAGGCACAGATGGTCACTTGTAGGTCACTCGAGCTGAGCTTCCACTTAGGAATTGCCCATGGGTACTGTAACCTAGTGGCAGGATCCCTTTACACAGATTGGGAGGATGTAATCAGAGTGCTGATTGGGTGCCTGGGCCCTTTGCTCTTGGAATCACTGATCTTAAACCCACCTCAGAAGGCATCTCACTGGCTGATTGAGAAGCTGAATTTAATTTTTTTTTTTAAGTCAAGGATCATATCCCAGACTGTCTTTGAACTTACTGTGTGAGGATGACCCTCCTTCTGAGGGTCACTATGCCTGGTCTTTTTCAGTGATGGGGATCAAACCTGACTTGAGTTAATGACCATGAGGTACTGAGGTGCTAAGGACCTGTTCCTGATGACAGTGCTGTTAGCTCTACCTGCTTGGCAGAGCGCCCACTCTCTCTTGGCTTGGGCCATTTCTACTGTTCCAGCCATGAAGTTATCCTGTGGACTCTGTAGCAATAGGTGCCATTATTGCT